TAAAAATGGTAAACAGTAGGGACCAAGTCAGGGATTTTTTGAGTTGAGGGACTAAGTCGGGGGTCCGTACAATAGTTGAGGGACCAAAAAGGGGATTTAACCAAAAAAAAAAGAGCAGTAGTAGCATGACAACCAAAAAATACGAATCCCATTGGAACATATTTGTTTTGGTCATTGCTTTCAAAGAATAATCAATTGAATGCATCTAAGTAAGCAAAGGAGAAAATCAAGTAAAATTTTTACTTGGAATGGAAAGAAAACTAAAAAGTATAAATAAGTAAACAACTTACCTTGAAGTCTTTAGAAAGAAAAGTTGATGACAAAAAGAACACTTGCGGGCCTCATAGGAGAAAAAAAGAAAGGGCTGAGTGGACACAATGGTGACTCGATAAGACTAAAATCTAAGTTTGAAATAATATTAAAGACTAAAGAGAAAATGTGGAGTCAAAGCTTGAAAGTCAAAGGCTGTATGGGCTATGGAGGTTGAAAAATATGAGAAGAGTTTAAAGTTTGAAGGGTTAGAGTCTTTGAGAATATTAGGGCAAGTAAGAATAGGAAAGGTCAAGAGATGAGTTATGAGTGGAGTGAGATTATTTTTATTTTTAGAAAATGATGAGTTAAGAGAATTAATTAGTTAATTAAGGAAAATTAGTCAATTATTAGAGGTTTAGGTGGGATTAGGAATTAGAAAACAAAATAAATAAATAATAAATTAGAAAATTTTAAATTTTTAGACGGGTAAATGGGTCAAACCCATTAACCCGATATGTCAACCCGTTATTAATTCGTGACCCGTCGGGTTATCTTAACGGGTCATTAACGGGTCACAAATCATAAATATATGACCCTAACCCGTTTTAAACAGGCGGGTAATGAACTAATTAACTGGTTGGGTAAAAAATTGCCAGGTCTATAAACTCTTGACTAATCTGTTGGTTTAACACAAATCTCTTCAATTAGTTTAATTTATTTTTTATAAATCTTAATTATGATCTGCTTAGTACTACCTCAAGTCTAATTTAATTGTCACTTAACCTATTTTTAGGACATTTTTTATAATAATATAATTTCAATTTTTTTATTTAATTTCACTTTATATAAAAAATATAATTACGATTTCTATAATATAAAAAAATCCCCACAATTACGTGCAATGACGGCTATAAATTCTGGAGGAAGTATGATTCTCCAATTCCATGAATACCGCATCAGGCACTTATACATTAGTCTGTTGGTGCAACTAATACCTTAATTAGTACTAAAATATAAACTATTTTACAGTTATGGTGTTGTTGACATAATTGCCCAAGGAATTTTAACCTGTTAAAAATCTCTCTAAGGATCCCCATACTAATTATTGACGGGATGAGAATGGGGAGGGATCCTACGGGAAGCGTTGCCATCCCTAACTTAGAATTTTACTAATAATTGTTCTCCAAGACTTCAGTTGTTTTTGTTGGAGTTTTTGTTTTACGAAGAAAAGCGTAGAGAAGAGACTTGCAGGACAAGAAGAGACACCCAGGGTTCCGTCTTTTGGTGGAGAAAGTCTACAATATCCCAGATATACCACTTGGGATGTATCCCGAACCAATAATATTCTGACACATTTTAGATTGTGGGGTCATAAAACACCAAGAACTAACGCCGTTTCTTTGCCTTCCTTCTTCCTTTCTTTGGGCCATTTCTACTTCTTCCTCTCTGTCTTTTATTTTTTTTATTTTTTTCGCTACATTTACATGCTACTCTTAAAAGTTGAATAACCATTTCTTTTTCTTTGTGTAGTTCCAACAAAATGATTTATGAGATTCTTTTTATCTTTTTATAGTCATTAAATTTTTTTTCTGTAAATATTTTATCATCAACTTTTTATTTTAGATACTATTGTCATCAATTAACAAAAAAAATTCACTTTGAAATTCAATTGGGGAAATGTGAAGGAAGGCTGAGACTTTGGAGGTACATTTTCAAAAATCATGAATTTAAATGCTTTGGCGATCCGTAAAGTAAGTTTTTATGTGCTCACAGTATTTTTGAACACCAGACCATGACGGCTATCATCTGCCTCTTTCATCACTTCTGCAAAACCCTTCCATTTTTGCTTTTCCCCAAATTCCACAGTCGATATTGATGCTAATCATCACAAGAAGGTGTTTTAAGAGCAATCCCTCTTGTATCCTTGAGAGAAGAAAAGAGTGGAGAATGAAAAGGAAAGGAAATGTCGATAGGAGAAGGAAGACGCAAGGCGAAAGAAAGGGAAAATGACAACAGGAAATGGTGTTAGTTTTATGTGTTTCATGGTTATTCAGCCTTTCAAGAGGAGCAGGTAAACGCAGCAAAGAAAAAAAAAAAAAAAATGGCCCAAAGAAAGGAAGAAGGAAGGCAAAGAAACCGGCGTTAGTTTTTGGTGTTTTATGGCCCCACAATCTAAAACGTGTCAGAATATTATTGGTTCGGGATACATCCCACGTGGTATACCCGGGATATTGTAGACTTTCTCCTTTTGGTGAGGTGAAAACCCTTTTTTCTTCATTGATGAAGTTCCCTATTTTGGTGAGGTGCAACTCAATTTCTTCATTCATCTTCTGCTCTCTCTATATCTATCAATTTTCCTAAATATTTCCCTCAATATTTTTCTGAATTTTTCATTCCTTTCTCCATTCTCTTTTCGCCGGAGCCCTCTTTTATACAAAAAAGGAAATAGAAACCCAAACCGTTCATGCCAATCTCAAACCATAATCTTCAATCACAAAATACAGATAAAACCCAATTCAAATAGAATCAGAAACCTAAAATACAATTGAGCCTCTGCATCCTTCCACTTTAAAGGCCAAGTTCATACCTCGTGGATTAGGGCTTCTAACTCCAAATCGATTTTGGACTTCTTTTCTTGCGGATCTCCTCTGATTCCATTCAATTGGTTGGCACTAGATCCAAAAATCTCTTCACTAAATTCGTCTTTTAATCGAACTCAAGTTGATGAAGAAGAAATTTTGGGAGAGAAGGTGAGGCAGAGCGAAAGAACGCTAATAAACCCTGGGCTCTCATTTTTGAGGATAGAAACGACGTGGTTTCATGGATTCTTTCTTTTGAACCTCATCTTCCGTGCATGCATCAACTTTGTACCCTAACGTCTTATTTCATCAATCTGTTCTGTAACTCACAATTTCAAAGTCTTAGTTCTTTGCAACCAAGTTCAATTTATTTTATTTTTCTTACATGATTAATTTTTAATTTCATAATTGAATCTCTAAAATTAAAATTATAAAAAAAATTAATTTTAATTAAAGCATTAGAAAGATTTTCAAAAAAATACTTGATGAAAAATGAGTCATTACAACAATATCCTATAGCCTAAAGGATAACTGTGGAAAGACATGTCGAAGTTTTTTTTAATATTTTTTTAGTTAGAAGTTTTTTAATTTGTTTTATGTATGGTGAAACAGCCTAAGGCGGAAATGGCTTCTCCCAGCGTGGTTATGGAACAGCCTAACATGGAAAGTGATTCAGCGGATGCTTCGAATGTCGAGCCTCAAGAAATTGTCGACTCTTCTTCGGAAGATTCGCCGACAGGTTTATTTAATTCACAATTTTTTTATCATCTCCCATAAGTAGGGCTGGGCATTTTTTAACCGAATCGATTGTTTACTTGAAAATCAAACCGAATTCATTTTTTCGATTTGATTTTAACGGTTTTTGGTTTTAATGTTAACCAAATATATTTTGGTTTGATTTTGGTTGAATCTCTCAAAAATTAAAAACCGAAAACAAATCGAAAATAAGTCATTTAAAAACTAAAATTAAGATAAATATGATAAAATATGATAAAATATGTGATAAAATATAATATATTATTAAAAAAATAATTGATAATTATTTGTTTATTAAAAACCAAAACCGAACCGATTTAAAATCGATTTATTGATAACCGAATTGATCGGTTTTTTGATCATTTCGGTCTGGTTTCGATTATCAAAATTAAGAAAAAATTTTTTGGTTATTTCAAAATCGGTTTCGGTTTTAACCGAAACCGGATTTTGCCCACCCCTACCCATAAGCAATAATTATTGGATAATAATTAATTAATATATTATTTTTGGCTGAACCTCAAGTACACACCACAAAAAATTAGCAGAGACAGATCCTTCTTATAAAAACAAAAATAAATTATCTTTTAAATTGTCAGTTAAAAAAATAATTTATTATTTAATGTGTAATGATTAATTTGTTACTTAACTCTATTTTTAATAAAAGTTACCATATAATGACATTAAATGTTAAATAATAAGTTCTTACTCTTTCCTTTTTTTAGGGCAAGAACTGTCTCTCTTCTCTTATTGGTTGTGGATTTAAGGAATTGGTCATATTTTTTGTTTTGTAGGAAAAAGGAGAAATTTATTTTTATTTTAATTATAAATATCAAATATAAATCACAATAATTCTTTCTTATTTCATACTCTATATAAAGAATTCAATTTCCTTTGCCACTCCATTTTGGCAAATTATAACACCGTGTTGCTAACCAAACAGTAAAAATTATTTTTCATTAAAAAATTTCTAAAATATTTCAAATAAAGAATAATTTCTTTTAAAAAAATAATTTTTCATAGAAAAATATTTTCTAACATGTAGTTATTTTCCACCAACTAAATGGACTCTTGTATTTTTTTTCTATGTTGTTGTTTGTTTTTTTTTTTTTACTGACTTTTTTTTTCTGATAGTAAGAAACTTAAGTTAGTTAATGTGTTAGTATCTGTAGTATTAGTGGGGAAGTTCGAACGCTTGGAGAGGGTGCAATCCATTAACTGCCCATTTGGGTAGCAGTGGCCACCATTGGGTCATAACAAGGAATGCTTTTTTTAGGTTGTTTAATTGCAATATCACTCCATCACTTTCATCTTTGATTCATTGAAAAGAAAAGCTATAGCGAAAGTAAACTCCTGACTAGTCTGTTGGTTTAAGACAAACCCCCTTAATTAGTTTAAGAGTTTGTTTAATTTGTGCTTTTAAAACACAAATTAAGATATAATAAATGTATTTTTTTAATTAATATACATTAAAAATTATAAATATAGACATATATTTTAACATTTTAACATCACTGACATGGTCAATAAAATTTTAATTGCTTAATTGATTATATCAAAATTAATATTTGTATTTTTAATAAAATTTAATTATGACACATTTATTGTATCATTATTTTGTGTCTTTAAGACACAAAATAGAAAAATCCTTAGTTTAATTAATTTTTTTATAAATCTTAATTATGATCTGCTTAGTATTACCTCAAGTCTAATTTAATTGTCACTTAACCTATTTTTAGGACATTTT